TGTTCAGCTACACAAAAGAGTTTGGCCTGCTGCTCAACGTGAATCGCTGTTCTGGTCGAATGTCCGTTATCTTCCGAACCAGAAACGTGCAGATGCGCTGGATTTGTACATGGTTTGTAATCACAATTGCAGTCGGCCAGATGTTCCGGTTGGTTTCTCTGAGTATATTCAATAACTTAAAAGACAGTACAGGCCGTGGAAGCCCTACCAGGATCATATGAATGGAAATGAACAGCCCATCCGGAAGGCTGTAAACAAAGGACGAAGTAATGGGGGGAGAGGGAGGGCCTCTTACCCGCCAAGTTTGGAATAGTCATGTGTCTAATTTGCAAGACGGATGACAGGAAGAAATAGATATGAGTGAAGGAGCAAACAAAGTGAGAAAGGAAGGAGAGAAGGGAAGTTAAAACGTGAAGGAGCCAACAGAAAGGAAGGAAAGCAGGGAAGGTAAAACACGATACGGACAATCATTATATTTAATTATTGGAAAGAGCCGTTTACGAGAATAGACTGCTGACTAGGCGTTTGATTTCTGAATTATCAGGGAAGATGTAAACCGTTTGTCATGTAGAAGAATCATTTGAAGAGAAGTATGTAAAAGAAATCTACTTTACTGATCGCTTTAACAGCCAGGATGACCTCTTTTCTTTTTATGTTTTACTCTCCCAAATTTTGAGAAATAAGAACATTTTTTGACATCCTGTACGTGCGCAAGTGTGCAGAGCATCTCCAGTTTTTTGCAATCAAACTCTCTTCATGATTATTCTAAATTTAGGTCATGACTACTGATAGGGAACACTTTCAGTTGCTGAACTGTTCCAATGTTCGAGTGGGTATTACAGTGGCAATGTTGTGCGAAACAGTGGTAAAGAAAGGACGAGGCTCAAAAACAATGAAAGAGCTAACACGTAGCGATGTACAGTGTAGAATATGCTATTGCGCTCAAGGTATCATTTTTTTTTTGGCTTTTTTAGGTCCAGATTTTCTCTTTCCCTTCCTTGCTCTCCAAAATTTTCTGAGATTTACTTTGCGCTGTAGGCTGCTACTGCCCGTGCTGGTCTTTACCGTTGACTGAATTGGCCGTGCCGTTGTTTCTGCCCGTTAGCTTACTAACCTTTTCCTATTGCTTATGGGGCCTTTACGACCCGTACTGCCTTCTACTTCTACTTTATGATACAGAAAACAGGACAGCCTGGACTAACACTGTCGGATTCCCGGCACACTGCGCGAGCAGCAGTGCCGAGTCTTCAGACCTTCAGGGCGTTGATCATTTGATTTGCGCCTATGATCGAATGGCTTTGCTTCATGCAAAGAGCTCAATTTCTTATTTTAATGCACCAAGCTCAAGAACACAACGTTAACGTAACTCAATGATACACGTAACTCAACCTCAAAGCCCAAGCACTCCAAAGAATACTGCAGTTGTCCGGCTCCCGACATTCGCAAGCAATCTTCTTATCCTCGCTCAATCCGCCCTGTGAAGTCGTAGCCTTCTCCTAGTAACCGCCGTATCCCAGCGCCGCCCTGTTCTAGGAATAACTGCTTTCCTACCCCAGAAGTTCTTACTCCTTCTCCCTCCTTATGATCCCCTTTTGCATATTTTTTATATACACACAAAAGAACAAAATGAAACATTTTGGAATAAATTTTATCTATCATTTTTCGTGTTTTGACACGACACAGGGCTTCATACCTTTAGTTGTATCCTACCTTTTGATCTACATATATGCGTTAGCTGTTCGGAGCCGCACAAGTAGTGTGATGGCAGACCGAGATGGAGCAGTGGCCTTTTTGTTATGTTCTGATTTAGCGTAATATAAGTGATGGATTTCAGTGGATCCAGGTGGCTGGGTGCCGGCATCTGCGTTGCGAATTATTTACAAGAGGGAATATCCGAAATTTCTGCGCGGTTTTACGAAATATGTATTGGCTCATGTTAATTCTCATCCATTAATCATCTGAACGATTTGGCCTGTTGTTGATGGAACCGCTCATATTCTTCCAGTTTTTTTTAATCCTCTCTGATTCATTGATCAATCTTACGGGTTTTCGCGCTTTTTTATGAATTCATTGTTTTTGATCAAAGCCAAGCACCTGTGGCTGTTTAACTACTTGTTGCTTTTTGTGGCAACACACTTTAATCCCTCCCGTTACGTGGCGTAATTCAATGTAACAATGTTCTCTAACCTTCACCCCTTTCGAATTATTGGTCTGCTGCCG